ACCCCGCCATGCTCCCCCCTTATCCTGTTGTGCTGCTGCACACTGGCAAGAACACGGCAGCTGAACAGTCCTTGAGACCTCAGTGCCAACTACAAACATCAGCGTGCTATCAACGTTCTTCTCAGAGCGAGCCTCTGAGTAAAACCAAAACACAGAGCTCTTCTAGCTGCTAAACAGAAGAGCTAACTCTGTCCCAGCTAAAACCAGGACAGCAATTAAAAGTGAGAGATTTGTACAAGGCTACTGTCTCACAGCCTTGTCCCTTACTATAGTGCCACCAAAGGCAGGCCTGAGATACAAAAACTGAAGCGTGTTTACACTTCTTAACTCTCAGAAGATACAATCAGTTTTGTGGAGAAGGCAAAAAAAGCTCAGAGCAAGGGAGAACCGATGACGCTTTCACACTTCTGAGAAGAAATGCAGGCTTGCAAAATGTAATAGTAGAATATTATTTTCTCTCTGAAATGGGACACTATCAGCTGGTGCCAAGTAACAATTTCCAAGTTTCAAAAGAACAACAAAACCAAGATAGGCTCTCCTGGTACAGATAAACTGCCTGAGTTTAACACCTAACAACTTCACAACTCTAAACAATTCTGCCTAAGCTCACAAAACCTACATAACAAAACCAAGAATGAACAGTAACATCAGAGATGCAGAACTTACTCTCCCATCTCTTGGCAAGATTAACACATATTATTGGAGCCTGCTCTTAGTGGTCAGAACTGGCTACACCTGAAGTAAAATAGCAGTCTCTACTTCCCTTTATCTGGCTAAGGACCTAATTATAAACAATTATCTTTAGTATACTAAAGATACCTGAAACTATACAGCAGAATAACGTCTAAACCAGCAAGCTGATGAGCAAGGCACTGTCTTTGGAAGGCTTGTGAGGCTAAATCCAAGATGTTCTGACTGCACATTATAGTGCAGTTCAGATGGTCTGCAGCTCCCTACAAACTACTGTAATTAAGCTCTGTCATTCTTTCCACTATAAACTCCAGTTTTCAGGAGTTTATAATTTGGATTGTAAAAACTCGTTCTGAGTGAAAGCTTAGCATACCAGAGCCTGTGCATGAGAACATTTTCTTTTTCCAAGACAGTCAGTTCCTTAAAGTTTTATGAACAACAAAAAAGTTTGCCAGCTTAACCCAAAACAAGTTAAAGAAGAAATAATCCACGTCACTTAAAACTTCCCTCCTCAAACTACAAAGGAACTTATCTGGCCAAGTTTAACCCGCAGAGAATCCAATGCCACTTCACAGTTCAAAAACTGGAACCAACGTACAGCTGAAAGCAGAGGCTTTACTAAAATGTACACAGACTTAACTGTAACCTAGACCCGGACTCAACCAAATGGAAAACATCCCCAAACCTACCAAACAGAGCAGATTGTGCTCTCTCTACTAAACACAACCACCAACCCTGTTCCCATTACTCCTTCCCCGTTCCTCCCACCCAAGCTCCACAGAACTCTTATTCCTGACTACACAAGCTTTCCAAATACCTTATTTTCTTTCTCCATCTTCCTTTCAGTGCCCCTCCGTCATGCTGGGTCCCACACAGGTGCTGCCATTTTCTGTGGCCCTCTTTCCACTGTTTCTAGTTGTTGCCTACCTGTCTGCTATGTGTCTACCAGCTGTAGGCAGTAAGACACAATTGCATCAAGGCCTGCCCAAGAAACTGCCACCACCACCTTTATCGAGACAGGTGACGTATTTTACCACAGTTTTCCATGCAGTTGCTGATATCTCTCAGCTAGGCTTGCTTTACATCAGAAGAGCAATTCCACACACACTTGATAATGCCTGACATTTGGAAATAACTGTCTACCCACTTCAGTGCTTGAAAATGACATACAATAGTAATGCACACAAAAATTACAGACTGTGTTTTTCATTTCTTTAAGAGATGAAACCAGCAACAGTCTCTTCTTATGAAATATCTTAAGGACTTGTCTGTTGTAAACAAGATGTGAGATAAGGAATAGTAAAACATATAGAACAAAAAAGGAAATGGAAAGGGGAAAAATCTTAATAGATTAGCAGACTTTATGTATCAAGGCTTTTATGAATCTGCTCGTTAGGCAGAACAGAATACTTTCAGTCAGGCTTCTCAAGCCCAGTGAAACACAACAGCAACTAACTCCTGTGTCCCATCCATCTTACTAACATATTCCTTTAAACTGGCTCTCATTAAAAATTCACCTTCACAACTAGGTTCTGGCCCAAAACTTTTCAGGGAGTTAACTGACAAAAAAAAAAAACCCAGCCTGAAATAAAACAGCAGAGCACACACTCCTAACTTCAATTCAACACTGAAACATACCTCTTTCCTCTGCAGAAAGTAGGAAACTTAGGACGAGAACTTTGAAACCTAGCTGTCTGTTGAGAAAGCATCTTCATTTTTTTCTAGCAAGTAATGACTATGAATTCAGAAGGATGGGCAGTGAGTCATTAGCTATTGCCTCAATTTTCCTTATACAGATTTGTCACTCAGCTCCTGTGACTACTAAGCCCCAGTTCCCCGTTTACTTTGCCTGCACTTTCACCCATTCCTTTCATGAACGGAGTAGTTTCACACATCTGAACTATTTCAATTTGCAAGGCATAGGCACGTTATGTTTTCTTCCATCTCTCAATCTGTTTGAATGAGAATGATAAAACTCTTGCTCATCAATGGGTTTGGCTAAGCTTTTGGTTTTGCTGTTGTGCAACACAAACCTGCACAAAGCTGCACTCCTGAACAACAGAGCTATTGAGCTTTCCCAATGCAGGGCGTGGCCTTCACTAAACTGTCAGCTGCCTATCTCCAAAGATCCAAGTTGACTCATATACTTGAGATGATCTCCTTCAATTTCAGACTCTTAAACCAAAGCCCAACCAACTTTCCCTGTACCTCATCAGACATCTCGGTAGATAACGACAGATGGTGAACTTCTATTCAGATAAACAATGGTATCTCCACAGTACTACTTCCATCTATGTTCAATCCTCCACATTATAATGTAACCCTCATCAGAAGATATGAAGTCGATAGCACAAAAAAACCTCCAGCTGTCTTGTCTGTACAACTTGTACAGAAATCACAGTAGCTGCCATTTCAGTAGCAATCCTTCGTTCTGGAGTGCAAGGCTCACATGCACAGGAGACAAAGAACTGGCTTTCCATGCTAACTGCAATATAAGCATCTCCTGAGATGGCCCCAGGGGGCACCAACAGGCAGTTTTAGAAATTCAACCTTGGTAAAAGGCTTTATCGTCCTTACTAAGGGGGTGTTTACACCTCAGTGAAGGAAAAAGAGGCAAACATTTTTTTCACAGAGTTATTTCTGTCACACAGGCAGCCATGAGCATACAACCGTGTGGATTTTAAACGCACCTGAATAAATGACTGAGCCAGCTCTGCACATATAGCTCTTCTACCATGTACCTGAGATGACCAAGTTATGCTTTCCGGCCTATCACAAGCAAGATCCAACTCTGCTCTCAGTTCCTCTCTGTCCCAAATTTACAACCCCTGAAAATGACGTCACGTTTTCAAAGCAAAAAGAATATGCGGCTCCCCTTGTAGGGCTCTGCATAAAGACCGTTTTATAAGTTTCCACAGAACAAATACAAAGACTTTCTTTTCCCCCATGCATTCTTTTAATTAACTGTTGTCAAGTATTCCCACTGAGGTAAAGATCTTAACATGAGTCCACAAAAATTTTCATATTTAAGGGCTTAACTGCATCATCCAGAGGGATACAGCGCAAGAAGAGAGAGATCTGGAGATTAATTTCTCCCTTTTCTCTGGGGTATAAATTCATCTCTAATAGGTGGAGATGAGGAATTTCCTTCAAGGAAAATTACTTGACAATTGGCTGTTACCATTTTTTTTTTCTTTTTCTAATTTTAATTGATGAAGTTGATCCTAGGTGACTTACAGAGATCAACTATTTTCACTGAGTAAGCAATCTGGACAAGCACGTTTATCTTCATTGGCAACAGACATTCTAATGCTTTCGCTTTACCTAAAAAAGGAAGACGAAGCAAAGACCTCTGCAGTTTCAAGAGCTGCCACAAGAGAACTCAAATTTATCATAAAGAGAAATCTTTAATGACTGGAATACTCATAAAATCAAAAACCTTCACTAACCTTCTACATTCATAGCTTCCCTCAGAAGCTGCAACTTCTTCTGTCTCTCTCTTATCCTGTCGAAGGCACTTGATATTGCTGCAGAGGTTGATGTCTCAGGCCCATGGTGTGTTGGATCCAGTTTTTGTGGTCCGAAGATATCCAGTGCTATACTTCCATCGGAGTATCTTGCTTCCTTGTTTCTGGTAGTAGTAGAAGTCCGTACTGTAAATGTTTCACACTGATGGTTGTGCCTGTGAGAGCCTCCAGCATGGTCCCTCTCAGCTGCCTTGTCAGATGTGCAAAGCAAATCTGTGGAGGAAGCCCATACTTTCCGCTTGGGAGTGACATCAGTATGAAGGTGACCTTTTTTTTCAAACTCACTGGTTTTACATCTATGAGGACAGAAAACATCTTCCTGTCCCAAGCTGTAATCTGCGGAAATGCCCTGGAAAAACTCTTCCTCGCCTTGTGTTCCTCTAATGGACAGAAATCCCATAGACTTGCTAAGTCCTTTGTTCAGCATGGTCTGTTGAGAGAAGTGAGTTTTGTGTCCATCGGCTGCATCGACCACCAATGTTTTTCCTGGAATAAGGAGACATTTCAAATATGTAATTTTGTACTTAACACACGGGAGTGCAACACAAGTTATTTACTGTTAAAGTGTACACTAAGTACACATTTTGGCCTTGATTTGGCCGCGTAAAACATTAAGATGGCTACTTAAATGGCTGTCTCAGTGAACAAAGACAGAACTCCAACTACTTCATTTCTCACAGGCGTTTTATTTCTTTTATTTCTGAAGCCCTCAAGAAAAAATTATGGCCCACTGTAATTCAGCCTTAATGTTTAAAACAAAACACTGTCACATACAGGCTGAAAGTTGTTTTCTCATTAGTTTTATTTTTGAAATAGTCTGGACTATCACCAAAAGTACTGTTTCATGACCAATCTGAAATCAGCCATTCCTCTCACCTCTCACACCCAAACACACCACCTACAATTCTTAATGACAAGTCCAGGTTTGTTCTACAGATTTACAGATGCCCTGCAGTAGTGTCAGTAGTAAGAGAGGAATGACTGTGTAGTTCGGAATTTTAAAAATCCCGGATCTTCCTTTAACGACTATTTTTGATGATGACAGTTTCCCCAGATATAGAATACTCTAAAACAAAAACAACAAAGCTTCTAAGATCGAGGTGATACTACGAGCCTGGGCACTTCATGTTTCGTTAATAAATGGATCAGCCGATACTAATGAACACTCTCTTTTCATAGAATCATAGAATGGTTAGGGTTGGAAGGGATCTCAAAGATCATCTAGTTCCAATTCCCCTGCCATGGGGGGTTTTCTCCCTCTCCCTTACTGTGGAATTACTTCCAGAACAAAAGAAACTGTCAGAGACAGAATAATATCAAAAAAATGTGTTCTCTGAAGAATATCGTATCATGGTCTCTGAGAAGTTTTGATGATCATGTATGTCTCGGGCATAAATTTTTCTCAAAGTATTAGCCTGATTTTGCATAGCTAATTACAAATTTCTTAATATTAACAGATGACCTACAAATTTACCTTTCATGTTCTTAAGCCTTCCTGAGATCAGAGTAAAAGAATTATAAACACTATGAAAGTATTATCCCAGAGAAAAACTACTATAGAAGACTACCCAATTGCTTCTTAGCTTCTGTTAGCCAACTAAATCTTTTTTTTAATGCTTCTGCATTATTAAAGAAAATCCAAAGTCTGTTGTAGATAAGACACTGGCAGTAATCTACTCAACTTCAACTGACCAAGTGCATTGTAAAAATTTTTATGAAGTCTAACCTTTTCAATCTGCAGCATACGTCCTGCATTAATATGGCAATCTCAACCTCATCGTGATACCCTTGATGAGAAAATCCAACCAAAAATATTCCATGCTGGGCTGTCTAAGCAATGCCTGCCTACCCAGGTGGAATCAGTACAGCATGTGATGTTTTTCTTAGAGCTAGCTCCCTCTCTACTGGGATGCTACCATGTACATCTTTTGAGAAGCAGCAGCCTTGAAGAAATCCTCACAAAAGAAAGCAGCCATGAGCTCAAAGTAAATTCCTGCGCTGTAGCTACTGCTCTTAAAGATGGCTCTAAGTGCTGTCTGCTGCTCTTCCAGAGTCGATTGAAATCAGCCTGCCTCACTTGTGCAGTAGGCTCCTGCTGATCTTTATCTAGAGTCTATTATCCTTTCAAATTGAGTTTCACAGAACACTTCAAGAATGCTCATAATTTTACTCAGAAATGCTTTAAAAGCTTATGGCTTTACACCTTTCAACTCCAAAGTTCTACTTGAAGAGGGGCTGTTAGTTTTCATTTCCTATTTCTGCGATATTAAACTAACAACAGGTGCTTTAAAAAAAGCAAGACTAAAGCCAAATGCAACCAAGAAGTCTCTTGCTTCTTACCAACACACAAATAAATGATGGTAAAATGTTAGGGTTTGGATTGTTTAAGAAGTGTCTTGTAAGAAATTACACAGTTCCCACACACTCCAGCCAAGAGAATAAACCAAAAACCTTTGCCAATGAGAGTGAACTAATCTTCTGAAAAGATCTGACACATCACTTCATATTTTACAAATATGGCTTTAATCCTAAACTCAAGTAAACATAATTATCTTTGTGGTCAGGTAAATCTTACGTTATTATCTTATTCTCAGCCTATACATCCTTCATAAGGGTGGTGAATTACATATAAAGTTCACAGACACAAAAAAGACTTTTAAAAATAACCGTTCATCATGAAGTTCCCACTATCTAAAGCAGCGAGATTATATCCATTCTGCAAACACACACTTCATATTCACATACATGAACATTAACAACAAACACTCCTAAATAGGATTTTAACTCAGTCATTTGTGAGAGACGAAAATCAAAATACTGCAGCATTTAAGATGGTCACCAAAACAGCAAATTGAAAGGAGCCCCAACAATCCCCCCCAATAACAAGCGTTCCAAGATAATTTTAGTCAGAAAAAAAATCAAAACAATGTCCTCTACGCACTGTTTTCACATTTTTTTTAAATGTAAAAAAACCCCCAAAAACTACCTCTTCAACATAAAAAGTATTTACATGCACAAGACCTTACTCAACCAACCAATGTCAAACAAAGCAGAAGAAATGAGAGAAACAGACAGCTGTAACTCCCGTATACTACCGAGGCTGTAAATTCAGGATTACTCGGTACATCGTTGGTCATGACTCAGAAGCACATTCCTGGTCCAAAAGATCATTTAGGTCTCTGTACGTTCAAGCATTGACTGGTTTCAGGATCACATCCAGCGAAGAGGGCCACAACACACTTTAAGTACCAATGGGTATCCTCACCATAGCACACTCAGAGGCATCAAGTATCTGGTGTAAGCTGGTGAGAATTGCAGTAAGAGAGCCCAGCTACCAGTGAGAGACAGTGCTACTGGGGAAGGTGCACATGTTCCTCACCAGAGCTGCAGTTTCCATGGACTTGTAGCGTTCAGACTAAACGTAACAGAAGCTGCTTCCAGTTCACGCGGTGGCTCAGAAGACACAAGCTCCTTGCCTTAGCATGCAAGAGATGCTTTCTGTTCCCCTAGTCATCCACCCACCTGGGGCTTCCTCAGGAGGAAAACTGAATGCCACAAACACGATCTCATCAGCAGTGACTGGGAAAGTACTCATCGCTACAGTTTTGCCACTTACCCAGCTAATTGCGGGATGAGACAGGAGATGAGCTGTCCGGTCAGGGAGCAGTGCAGAAGGCATTCCACTTCCACACTGCTCTTCCACTCTGCTGAGCAGAGATGTCTACAGGTCTAACTCATACCGGGATTGACTTTTGCAGCCAACATGAGTTTTTAACATAGAACCAAAAGGAATCCACAGCTGGCCTTCAGTTTTGAGACCGTAAAAATTCTCTTCAACATCTTTCATCTTTCCTTTATTACTCTCTCCATTCCCACTTCTGCTTTTCACCAGTCTTGGCACTTCTTCCCGCCCATCCCTCTCCACACAACGTCATTTCATAGAATCATAGAATGGTTAGGGC